ATAATATAAAAAGTTAAGCAGAAAAATCTTCATCTGGCGGATTGGGATTATACTAATTTTTTGCACGATCGGTTATTGTCGGCTACTTACTAATTCATTTTCAAGGCGGTAAGGTGCGCTTACCAACCTAGGGCGGTAAGTGTATCATAGCAACGTGCTTAGCAACCAAGTGACAGTTATAGTAACATGCGACAAGTAGGATATGTCAGATATGTGTCAAAAATCAAATGATTGTTTATTAATGTAGAAGTTAAATGTAAAATTTTGTCAAGTTACAAAAATTGGTTCGGGAATTAAACAGGCAATTGGAAAACACGGTGTTTACAGATTCTTCACACTCAGCAGTCGATAGAGGATTTGAATTAGTACGGTATGAAATAGCAGGTTCTGTTGATGGCAACGAAGATGATGAAGGGTTCCCTGGAGTTCCACATAAAATGTTCTGATCATGCCTAGCTGTACATATTAATGTTAAAATCAGTGACTGGAGTCTGTACATTACTTACCTTTATCATCAAGTACGTGTCATCGGGTGCTTCCGTAAGAAATTTATGAAAATCTGCTTTAGAAAAAACGCTAGATTTTTTTTGGCTGATACCGATCGTTCTTTATTTTCAAAAATGCTATCAGCGTACTGTATTTAGAAATATCAACACCCCTTCTTAGAAAAATCATACTTTTCAACATGGAATAATCACACCATAAGCTTGATGGCGTTTCAATCCTTCACTACGTTGAACGAAATATGCTAACACAATTTTTTCACTTATGTCAGTTTGACATTTACTTTCACATCATTTAAGGAAAGAATCATATGCGGCTTCATACCTACTTTTAGATTTTTCGGAAATAGTCGACGCGCAGCCAATACTCCATGCATTTTCTATTTCGGAATTTTCTGAATCATTCATGTTCACTAGTCTCAACCAAACCACGGTTCGCGTACGTGTTGTTTTGTTTTCAAAAACAGAAACGTAACTGTAGCAACCCACAAAAAAGTACCTACTGAACCCATTGTGATGCTATACCACATTGATACATTCGAATTTAGTTTATATCAATAATGAATTGATCGTGCAAAAAATAGCGTAAGCACCACGGCCAGTAGGTGCTTAACCGATTTCGGATAATATTGCACACCTCGAGCTGCGCTCTCGGTTTGCAATTATTATCCTCAATCGGTAAAGTACACCTACTGACCTTAATACTTAATATACTATTAGATATAAAATTGTTTCCAGAAAATGTTAGACCTTTACTATCTAAATTAAGGTACCTAGTACTTATTCAATGCTATAATGCAATCAGAAAGGGAAGTTGCAACTTGGTTTTGTCATCGAGGGGACACAAAGTGTTAGGATGAGTGGTAGGTACCTACATCGATGGAAGTGTACTTTGTGCTGAAGAATGACGAATACTTCAATGGCGGTAAAGAAATAGAAGAATTTTTAATTTTCAGTTTGCTACTAGCCGAAGAATTGATCGAAAAAGCTTGACAATTTGTTCTTTTTCATTGCCCTCCTATTCGAAAATTCAACTTGATAGGGTGGTTGCTCATTTTCGGAAACCCACACGCTTCCGTTTTCGCCATCGTTTAGCATTACTATGACGGCTTTACCGACATTATCGGACCTGCAAAAAGTTTCCGACACTCACGCTATACCGTCATAAATTCACTTACGACTGCTCATATATGAACCAAGATCCTAAATAAGCAATTAGGTTGAGTCCAGGTAAGAATTTATTGGACATGCCATTCATAAATTGCTCTTTACTTAGAATATCTGTCTTGGTGATTCCTGGACAAATGGTCATTACACGAACGTTGTTGTAGTAATAATAAAGCGGATTGCTAAAGGAACGTCCTAGTCCAACAACGAAGGCTTTAGTGCCGCTGTAAACTGGCACGAAAGATATGGGGTCAATTCCATATATTGAAGACACATTAATTATAACCCCTCCACGTCCTCCTTTAGCTATACTCATGTACCTAAACCCCAATATCGTTCCTTGCACTACTCCCAGCTATAAGTTATAATACTTTCCAATGTTAACTGCTACCCACGCTTTGTAGTGTTACTTACTGCGTTGATATTAATTAATCTAGCTGGATGTGGTTCGTCAACCACCCCGGCACCATTAACAACAATATCCAAACCACCCCAGTGGGAAGTAGACGCGTTAAACGCCTCTGAAACTGATCATCCGTACACACTCTACAGAAACACGCTTACCCTCAAGTTGCTCCGCGTCACTAACGTCACCTTGCAACCAGATCACCTTTCCGCTCCCGAATTTTTCAGTAAGTAACTGAACGGTCTGATTGCCTCGAGCAGCATTAACACTGACCATGGTAACACTCTAAAAATTCACCGTAGCGATTACTTCACCCGCTTTGCCTTCACTCCATTGAGTAAAAGCTGGGTGGTGATACCTAAACCGATCCCTCGACTTGCTCCCGTTACCAAAGCAATCTTTCCATTAAAATCGTAACTGCCTGACCTCGCGCACGCAAGTAGTGCTAAAAATGGCACGGCAGTTCTTTGAATCATCTCCGTTACACACTGAAAATGAAGTTAGTTTATGTAATCGGTTCTGTTGTGACAGCGGCCTATACAAAAGTCCATTCAATCTTCAAGATGACCAAACGCTGTAAGTTACGCTTGCGGTCATCATGGACTTCATGTATGCTGTAACTCACACTTTTTACGTTAAAAGTTCTTCCTGTTTTGTTAATCAAAGCATTACTAGACGGGAAGTCATTTCGACACCATTCATTTTCTTATGGGAAAAACAAAATAAAGAAAAATAGATTCTAAATTTTAATACAAATGTGTAATACATTTCAAACTGGGAATTATACGCCTAATAAATACCGCGCGATTCCATAAACACAGCGCACTCGAATTCATACGGGTGACGGCACTTAAGACCTTGTGAAATTGGTGTACAAACCGACAAAGTTCAGTTCAGCGACGCAAAGTGAAAGAGACTTGCTTTTGCTTTCTGCCCAATTCAATTTTTTTGCCTGCTTCTCATTTGTCTTTACCGTTACATCTTCACATAGCCTTCAAATCTCTTATGCGTTTTTTATACCCTCTTCATGTGTTATTCATTAACCTTTAACCCGGTCTGTTCCACGCCCGTTGTCCGTAGACCTGTTTTCTTTAAGTATACCTATGTTATCAATCACTTATTTTTTCACCCCTTCTTGAATTTTGTTTGCTTCTCACACTTCCTTCGGGCCTTCTTCTTTTGTATTTTTTTCTTTCACCAGCGCTTCCTACACTTCTTTCGCACATTCTACACTACAGACACAACTACTTTACTTCCTAATGTAACGCTTACACTTTTCTGACGCCTCCCTCGCTTGGTGTCTTCAGAAACGTTTTATACTCTCTTTGCCCTTTAGTGACATCATCCGACTTTCTTACAGTTCTTTTCCTTCACGTCTCATTCTTTCATATTATTTTCCTTGTCATACACTTTTTACTCCTCCCATTTTTTTAAGTTGTTCTTCAATTCTGCTTAATTCTGTTAAAGTTTACATTTCTCCCCTATCTTAATGCTTAAACCTCGTTCCATCACTGCCTCTTTCTCGGCACATTTTTCGTTTGTTTATCTTTCACTTTTCCTTAAAGTTTCCTTTACTCCTTCGTCATTTTAGTGAATTTTACTTGTCTTCATCCATTCTCCTTTTGTGCCTTCTGTGTAGGTACTGTTCGCATACACGTTGCCTTTACACCTATTTGACGCTTTCGGACGACACCTGCTTACTACACGCATTTCTTGTTTATGTCTCTTTTTTGTAGGGTCCCTTTCAGACTCTCATCATATCACCTTCTTTCAAGTTGCTTCCATTGCCACTTTCTTCTCACACATTCATTTCCCATCACATCCTGTTTACACGGCAAAGGGTGGTGTACTGTTGCAGCTCGAGTTACCACTCACATGTTAAGGGAGGTAAAAAATGATCTACCACTATCAAACAAAATCTCGATGATGTCGGTTTGTCTGTCTGCACTCAATTTATTCGTAAACAATTTCGCTATGTTTTAAAGAAGAGGTTCCACTCTTCTGTAGATACAACTTACGACGATGCTTCCATTTTTGAGAGCTGACAACTGCGCGACTTTTTTACAAAGGGGAAAAGCTCTCTGCACCTTCCGGAACACTAACCCTCCTTACGTTACATCTTGTTTTAAGCAGATCTACCTACTAGAGCATCGTTAGTATACGTTTGTTATTTTTGTGTTATTTAATGCAGGTAGTAATCTTTGAATTTCATTATAATTTATTTGTATTTTATTGTATATATTTTATATTTTTTTCTAAATTTCAATCTTTGTTCTTGGAAATTGGCATGATTTACCCTCAATGCATCACGTGTACGTAAAATGTCGTTAGCTTCTATTGTTTCGAAATGGTTTTCATTTTTGGTGTAAATTTTTGCTCAATTTATGGTTATACTATGCGATCAAAAATGAGTTGCTGTCGAGTCATCTTTGGAATTTTTGTTTCCATATAGTAAATCGTGCTTAACTTGAACTTCCAAAGGCGACTCGACAGCAATTCATTTTTGATCGCCCGTTATATTCTGATTACATGGTCTTAGTCCATTATATTTTTTGCCATTTATTTAAATATGTCTAAGGTAGAAAATTGTTTGCTGTATCTACTAACTTGTACATTTTATCGTCAATTATTTAATGCAACAAATTATCTTATACATTGAAAACATTTTCACTATTTCCGGATTGATTTTATTTCCGTAGAGTGTGAAGTTAGCGTAGAACCTGGAGGTTAAGTTAGTTAAGTATAGGTACTACAAATATTTTAAAGCTTTCACTAAATGTGTTTCGGGAACACTTCGGAGTCTCGCTATATTAAAATAACTGAGGGATTCTTGATAAAACGTTTATTGAATTTTGACAAATTTTTTAAAGAAGTTAAGAGCCATTTTACAGATTCTTAGAAGTTCATGAGAGACTCTTTAGAGCTAGGTAACCGAAAAACTGCCCCTTTTCAGAGATTTTTGACTTAAAAACGTTTTTGTATATTAGGTGGGAAATATTTACCTCCACATTCTAGAGTGATTTTTAAACTTTCTAAAAACTCATCAGGAATTGATCAAATATTTCCTAAATTCAATCATCATACATTCATTAGGAATTGTGTTGATTTTTATTTTTGGTCTTTATTTTTAAGTGGGCGGGGTTTCAGCCAAGGGCTACTCCACCAACTCAACTCATTAGACATTTACAAATAGCCATGTCCGAACTCGGTTTCGAACCAGGGACCCTCGGCCTTCCATGCCAATGCGGCACACAGGCCGGCATTGTTGTTCTTACCTTACGTTTTGAGGCTTCTCAGGTACTAATCTTGTAAGATCTTTTTTTGAAAACTTCTCAAGAATTTTAAATTTATGAAATATTAGTTTAATGAACTTTTAACGGATTTCCATACCTACTTGGGTCACAGAATATTCAGATGTTTTTCCAAAGATGTTCTTCAGATGATTTTTATTCATTCATTGATTTTATAAAAACCGTGTAAAATCACACCAGAAATTCTGCATTCCAAACACTGTATAAATTATTAAAGGACCTCTAATCTTGAGAGGCTTACCTCTAAAGCGTTGATTCAATCAACGTCTAAAGTATCTATGAACAATTCATCAAGAATGTTTAAAGAATCTCTGACGCATCTCTGAAGAACTTCTCGACAAGTACTACACAATTTCTGAAGAGTACTTCAAGAATCTCGTTTAAATCGATAGAAATTGTACCTACGAAGTGCATATTTGCAGAAATTCTGACAAATACAGGATGATTTAATGAGAGGTGCTTAAATAGGAATACCTGTAAAAGTCTGTACACTTTTTCAAATAATCTCTAAATACTCTCTTATGAAACCGTGAAACACATACTTAATTTATAAATATCCAAACAATAACGGAAGAACTTCCGAAGAACATTTACTGAGCTTTGCAGAAGAAATCGCTCATGAATGTTTTAAAACCGACCAAAGAATATCTGAATATTGTGTGAAAAATCGTTAATAATCCAAAGAATATGTAATGGAGCGTTAATGAATCTATGAAGAATCTCGTACGAACTTGTACAAAACCTTGACGGCTCATTGAAGAATCTTTGGAAAATTCCTAGATCCACTGAAGAAGGAAATAATAAACAGTTTATTACTATGTATACATTTGGTAGTATATTTTTTGAGAACTTTTGAAAAATCTCCAGAGGACTTTTGGTAATGGTCTCTGAAAATGCACACAAAACGGAATAACATAAAAAAATTAACAGATTTCGTAATCCATGCAACCATCGGAGACATTAGAAATGATAACCGTAATATGTAAAAGACAAACTACCCTTATTCACACGGGATCATTTTCTCCACTCGCTCTCAAGCTCGCTCGTGTCGCAAAGGTAAAGTTTCTGAATAATAAACCTCATAACATGTTCGTAATCCTATTAAAGGAGATGTGCGAGAATTTAAATTGGAATTAACAAAACAATTGCGCACTAGTCTTCGGATTGAACGAAACTGTGAAAGTCCTTGAAGAAATTTTGGGAAATCAATTTTTTGCTTATATTTCTAAGTGGATGGAGTTTTATCCGAAGCTGCTCTACCTCGACCTACTCAACCCTTAAAAAATTGCTACGTTCGAACCCTGAGTTCGAACTTGGTAACTTCTTGGTCGCAGCCGAGTATCTCACACAATTTCGCATTGCCGTTCAAAGAGCAGGGTCCCCTATTTTGTAGGTAAAAGTTGTAACAGAAGTACTGGTCACCTTGTGGGCTGTGGCTCTCTTTTGGGACATGTGAAGGAGGGTGGATATTTAAGACTAGAAGGATTTTAGCCATTTATACATGTATTTGACCTAAGCTAATGTTCTCATCTTTGTTGTTGAGTTATTTGAAATTTTGAAGATTTTTCTTATAGCAATTTTTTTGTTCTTGAAGAATTTTTGGGAAATCTATTTTTTGCTTATATTTCTAAGCGGATGAAGTTTTATTAGCTAATGCGTAGGCGACGGACGGGGTGGACCAAAAACATTAAAGCCATAATTGCGCCTGCGTTACCTCTTGCGGAAATGCACGTTTTGAAGCATCAGGAATTCGAATCAAAATCTGTCGGTCCGTCTGTATTGTCATTTCTGGCTAAACGGTTCAATCGATTAGAACCATAAGGAAGAGCTGAAAAGCGTCTTAGGGCTTAAAAGTCTTTGGACAGAACGCGCATGCAATACCTCCCTTATTAACGTGCGGGTAGTAAAAATAATCGAAGTGGCGTTTGGATTTTTAAAAAGCGTTAAATCAAAGTGCGCAGGTTATGATGTAGAATCAGATTAGGCAATTTAATTTTTAATACAGACATTGAATAAAAATGTGTGGTTTTATTCAATGATACAGGTGAAAATGATGTCACAAGAGGATACGACACCTTATTTGATTTGAAAATGTTGCAGGTCAATACAAATTTGAAAATATATTACCACCCTTGAAATTATTAAAATTTTCTACCTACTGCGTA